GGCAATTGGGACGGATCTCCCCTATGTTGAAGATGGAGAAAAATGGTAGAGAAAAAGTTGAATACGTGACCTCATTTTTGTGGCTAGTTCAATGATACACTTGCCAAGTGGAATTGCACATTTTTCTATCGCTGAATCGTATATTCTTCTTGGCATAAATCAAAGAAGCATTTAGAATACCTATTATTTCGAAAAATTCTTGCACCATGTAAAAAAAGAAAATTAGCGCAAAAAATAAATATACCCAGCCAGAAATTTTCTTCTGTCCACAACGAAACAGGCGGTTCAAAGTATTTCGAGCGCTACGGCCATACTGGAATTCATAGTACAATAAGTTAAATAAGTGGAAACTTTTTTAATCTCGCAAGAGCAACAATCTGTGTAAAGGAAAGTTTCAATAGGAAAATTGATTTAGTCGTAATATCGATGCAAGAGTAATTTGCGCGGGAAATATCGTTTGACGTTTCTATTAAAGATCGATGATGATGGACCGACTCGTAGTCGAGCGTAAATCTTGTGGCGCTGCAATCACGTGCTGGATCAGCAAATCGGATAAAAATAATACGCCATAAAAGCAATTTCTCGAATCATGGATGCGAAATGAATATGCGTGTCGTGGACCAATTACTCCAATCGTGAACAATTCGGTCAAAACCTGTTTACTCGAGCAACGAACAGAGACGACTGGACGTGATAATGAAAAGGTGCAATGAAATTAAAATTAACTTCAAGATCGAGACAAAATTAGTGCAAGTTTTATTCTCGTCGTAATTCTACGACTTCGGTAAAGGCAACCCAAGATATCCAATCTTGAAACGTAAAACAAATTCGAGATTAGGACTGAAATAGCGAAACTTTTATTCTTATTTTAGTCTTCGACTTCGGCGACCATAACCTAAGATAATATTCCACCTTGAAACTACCTAAAAATAAATTTAATTTCAATATTAAGACTAAAATAGAGAAACTCGTATTCTTATCGCAATTCCTCAATGATATTAAACCAAACCAATCTTAAATCGAAAAGTCATATCGTAAGTTGAATTTAATTTCAAGATCGCGATAAAAATAGTGGAACCTGTACTCTTGTCTTAACTCCGTGGCGTTAATAAACCTAACCCACCTTGAAACGTAAAGTCGTACAGTGAGTTGAAATTAATCTCAAGGTCGGCATTGAAACAGCGAAACTTGTATTCTGGCCGTAGTATCTCGATATTGGTAAACCGAGCCCATCTCGAAACGGAAAGTCGTATCGTAAGTTAAAATTAGTTTCAAGATCGGGACTAAAATAGCGAAAATTTCATTCTCGTCGTAACTCCGCGACGTTAGTAATCCGATCCCCGGACCTACCTATCGTAAAACGCAAGACTCCTATCGTAAGATAAAATTAATTACAAGATCGGAACGAAAAAAGCGAGGCATCCTTTCTTGTCGCGCCACCTCGACCTCAGAACCCGTCGAATGGTCGATTTGTATGAAAATCGAGAAAAATACACGCTCGAAATAGACTGTCGAACTCGTTACAGTTCGTTAATGACTCGATACTCGTGTTCCTGGACTTAGAACTCGTGCCATTAAAATAACTCGTACACATGTTGCATCCCGGTGGGAGAAGGGTGGGGGTCGATTGTCCATTAAAATTGTTTGTAGCTGTTAAATTTTATAAAGTAGATAAATGCTGCTATATTTGCTAAATAACCGGCCCTATAAAATTTACGCGCGCTTTAACATGGATTATCAGACTGGAGTCACTCGTTCCGAAACGACGATCACGAATTTAATAGGGAATGTGTCGGTGAAAAATACGATAAAAAAGTGGGCTCGCGATAATCGCGGCAACCGCAGGCGATTCGATTATACGTTCGACTCAATGGGGGCGTTTATCGCGACCGACCGCGTAAGGACGCAATGATTTTTCGATTCCGGGGTTCCGCACGACGGAAATCCCGAGAATATTGAAATCATAACGCGCCTGCCATGAATATTATTCGGGTCTAAGGCGATATAATTTAAAATCGATGGAGCAACGTGGAATAAATTTGGCACCCTGCCGCTCACGGTAAGCCCTAAGCCTCCGTGTCCGAGAGGAAATGGGGGTTGCTACTCTAACGTTAGGGGTGGAACTTCGGTCAGATAATGGTGGCGGTCCAGCACCTGGGACCTCGCGATGGAAGTTTTCACATCTTTCCTTCCATCGACGTAACTTTGCCCCTCCATTACACAGACACTGTTGGAATTAGGGAATCTTAACTGAACAATCAAAAACATAAGTCAATTCTCAAATATAAAAAAGAACACTTGAATGTTTAATCACAGCACCAATTTAAGAATCAACCGATGTAGGCAATTTTATATTTCTAATTTACGTCTATCTTTCGAGACGAATAATAAAATGTTTTCTTCAGCGTAAAATTCTTGAAAAATCATTATAAAAATAATTCGTTTTATATTTGATAATCTACCGATTACTTTGATTCTAATATCTTAAACTCTATTTTGAATTTACGTCTGTCTTTTGAGAAGAATAATATCTCTTTTTCCTAGCATAAAATTCTTGAAAAATCATTACAAAAATAATTCGTTTTATATTTGACAATCTACCGATTACTTTTGATTCTAATATCTTAAACTCTATTTCTAATTTATGTTTGTCTTTTGAGCCGAATAATAAAATCTTTTCTCCAGCGTAAAATTCTTGAAAAATCATTATAAAGTTAATCCGTTTTATATTTGATAATCTACCATTACTCTTGATTCTAATATCCCGTTGCGCCGCTATACCGATCCGGCGCAGTGTGAAACGAAAAACAAAATTACACAACGCCATGTTAGTTTAAGCTTCCAGCAGATGAAACTACGCCGAATATGCGATATAGATGAACCAAAACGCAAACATTTGCCATGCGATATACTCAAGGTGTGTTCACGATAAATATTTACATAAGCACAACAATTCTCTTCCAACGGCGATAGAAACATTTTACCGTAGTTGCTGTTGATTGGTTTGTTTATCTAGATTTACTCGATACGACACATTCCAACGAATTGCTATGCTTTCTGAAATAGAATTCGTGGTAAATTAGATCAATCAAAATTGTCGCGCAAGCTCTCTAAATTAAACTTGTTTCGACCATTCGATGTGATCGGTAATTTTGTTCTAATTGCATTTTTATTTGCAAAATATTTTTGAGTGCTTTATTATTAAATATTTTGATCTAGTAATCATTAAAAACCAGATGACCAGTCTGCAAATTTTAATGTCAGTCAAAGATGCTATCTTGAACGTTCTCTAATTAGGACACGTACTTTTGGTTGGCTCGCTGGAAGCAAGTAACCAGGCCGGAAAAATACGTTTATACAAATTCGAAAGCCGAAGAAACGCGTCACCGTTCTTATGAGAAGGATTATGTCTTGCAGACGGGACAAAAACTATTACTACTCGTTCCCAGCGCGATTCACATTCATGGATTCCACGCAAAATGCCCTATCCATATTCCTATTATCCCGCGAATCTAAGCAAACACGTGGAATATCGCGATGCTTGACGTGTTTGCGCCCGCTGGGGACAAAAAGCATAACGGGAATAAGCAAACAACGACGAAGCGTTCCCATTTCCGGACAAGCTACCTGGTATTACCTTCCCTGCATACAGACGTTAACGAAGGCGAGAAAAAGGGCGATAGAAGTCTGGGAAACGGTTTGGTCGACTTGCTCGTAAACGTCTCTAAATTAGTACTTTCCCGTTTATTGCTTATAAATAGTAATTATTTTAAAGCGCGTCGCTAAACTCCAGAGCAAAAAGCTTTACGATTCTTAAAGGTAACCCTTGTTCCTTTCAGAACACGACTTATATAAAATATCAATGACAATGTATCATAATAAATTCCATTCAGTATGCGACATTACAAGAACGATAAATAAATTCAGTAGATTTATCAAAAATATAGATTTTTTAATAATAAATAAAAATATGAATGATTGCAAGCAGAAATGCAAATATTGTTCGTCGAAATTTTATGGAAATTCTGGTCCAACAAAAATAAAAGTTTATTTTGTTTCTTTTAATGATTACAAATGTATATTGCAGCACCGATATTTGGCAAAGTAAAACGTACAGGCCTCGTGGAAATCCATTAACCAGCTTTCGTTACAAATTCTGGCCCGGATTCGGATACAAGCCCATTTCGTCTTCCTTTATGGAGCACCGGAACTTAATACATTCGCGCATTGTTTCATCGAAACTCCGGGAATTGGCTTTGGTATCGGTCGTAGGAATAGTTTTTGCTGTAATGGCTTAATAATCGTGGGAGGATACCGATCATTTCGTTGGACGCGAGGCAACTGGTCAATTTGTTCGACGGCACAGCGTAACGCACCAATTCGAACGTCAATTTAAAAATAACTCTTTCGCAGCCATTAACTTATTGCGATGTCCAGCCATCAGGCAGGTTTGCACGTAGTATTTTTAAAACGCGATGGAAAAATATTTTCACGTTCGCTCGGGACAAACATCGAGAACGTCCGATTTTTCGGTGTGCCGCAATTTTGATTCGAAACAAATATTAACATACTATGAACGATACACAGCCGCGCATACGAAGCAAAGCAATACTTTTCAGAACTATTTGACAGGCTCAAACAGAGAAAGAAGCTCTTTCGCGCGAGCCTTTGTTTCCGTCGGAATTGCTTTTAAACATTTGTTAGATACATCGTCGACAAAGGCGCCTTTGAGGTCATTTGCGCAGGCCACAGCTATGTTTAGCTGGAATGCTTACACCGTTGCATTTATCAAAGTAATTTAATGCACTTTCATACAGCGATAACGTATTTTGTTAACTGACAAGCTGTGAAAAGTGGTTTCGTTTAAACGCAGGTTTTCAACAGTTTGCCAGTTGGCAAGAGAATTGTCTCTTTTAAGTGCATACAGTTTAATATTATTATTAAGTGTACGACTCTGTTGCTAGACAAATTTGTCAACGAACGTTTCCTTTATGTTTCAGATCTGCCAACTACGCGAACGCGACAAAACAGTGCGAGCTTTCGGACATGGATCGCCTCACTGTCGCCGGATCCAACGCTTTCCAATCGGCTAAAGGTTTCGATTATCTGGAAAATCATTGTGTGGACGAGCCAGTCAAACTCTGCGAATTCAAGAAGCTCGCTGGGCGTATTCTGAAGACCGTGGACTCGGTTTACCAAGACGTTGGAACCGCCGAGGAGTGTCGAGAACTCTGTCTTAATTCTCCGTTCCGTTGCCATTCTTACGATTATGGCGACACTGGTGACATGGTATGCCGTCTCAGTCACCATTCCAGAGCCACCCTTTCCGACATTCAGGTAAGAACGGAATCAATCACTTGATCCAAGTTTCATAATTCCAAGCAACTACTCAGAAACCAATTAGAATTTCGAAATCAAATCCCTGCTAGAACTTGACCGATCCTTATTGGAAAATACCTGCACAATTTCATAACTTCATGGTCGGCAATTTTTAATCGATATCGTTTTGAGCAAACATCACCCACCCAGTTTTATTACGAGCGCAGACACTATAAGGATAAATCGTACAAATGGCGCCATTAAAGAGATATAAATTCTTAGCAATCTGCTGAGGTAATAGAGCAATAAACGTTTTTCGTACGATATTTCCGTATCGATATTTAATATACTCTGTATGAGGTTTTCTCACGTAGAACATAGAACGTCGAGTAAAGTTTTGAGAGCGCAAAGTTGTCAATAAATCATTCCCAAAAACGTAACAATATATTTATATTAAGTTCGAAAGAAAAAAGAACATTTTGCATTTTAAATAATTTACCGTGAAATTCTCGAGGTCGCGATCGTTAAATTACTCGTTGGCCAAGATGAAGAAGAAAATTCTGAAACAAGTTAACTTCACGATATAATGTCGAGTGTTAGACGCACATGAAAATCAGAATTTATCGCGTTGTATCGCATTTGCGCGAAACACATAGCCATTTACTCGATAGGAGAGGTTTAATGAAACGTTTATCGAAATTATTTCTCGGGAACGATGGAAAACGTTCGCGGCGTTGAATTTCAGAGCGCAGGCAAGCTTTAATCCATTCGGCACGCGAAAGTAAAACAATTTAACGTCAATCCTGACCGTAGAATTCGCTTAGAAATCGTAGACCACACATTTCACACGTTCCACTCTGCCACGTACTCTTGAAAGGGTCGATGGGGATTTTCTGTAAACCTGATTACATCGCACACGTGCAAACCAGGTCGAACAATTCGCCGAGAGCGCATTCGTGGAAAATCGAGTTTCCATCGCAGATGCTTACCCTATCGAGCCTGTGGGTGGCTTTTCAGCTCGTGCATACGAGAGGACGGTGCCTCATACCACGAAAAAGTCAAGACAAAGACTTTTCTTCTCGCCAACCTGTTGAGGAATCAGTTCACTCTATTTCTGCTAGCGTTTTACATCGAACCGAATCACTTGTACTTTTAACAGTCTGTGCTCGTCGCGTTTCCGTTCACCAACGTCGCCATCTTTGAAACACCTCCCCCCAAGACGGGAGAATCGCAATACAAATCATAATTTTCTTTCTTGGAAATGGTATCTAATCCAAATTTCTTGCTAAAATACTATTGACGATAGTTTCTCCTTTATATATTTACTTATACGTGTATATTTTCTAAAGTGCTCTATGTTATTATGAAGAGTAATAGCTCCACGGAAAGTAATTCTCCCGGCATGTAGATCTAACCCCGCTGTGCATCAAATTTTTATTAGCGCCTTTTAAAACTGATATTACTTTCAACGAAAACTGACTGGTTTGCATTCTTTATGGATCAAACTTCTACCCTCTTGATCTGCGAGTAAATTTACATAACCTAGTCAGAAATTGCATTAAAAATCTGGGATTGCTTTTAAAATATGAAGGTCAACATTTCCTCTCCTAATGTTTGCACCCTTTTCATTCTAAAATTACGATGCCCATTTCGCCACGACTAATATTATTAGTCGTAGTGAAATTTGAACAAGGCGCGCTGTATTTTTTCGTGATTCCTTTTGCAGACAATAAAAAAGATAATGTTTCACCGATTTCAGGAACCGTATCTCGACGTACCAGAGGGATCAACGTACGAGCTGAGCTCTTGCTACAACGTCACCATCGATTGTCGCGCCGGTGACATGGTGACGAGGATCCAAACCAGCAAGCTGTTTTACGGCAAAGTGTACGTGAAAGGATCGCCGAACTCCTGTGTACAGGACGTGAAAGGTGCGCTGGAATTTGAGCTACGAATGGCCTACGACGATTTGGAGTGCAACATCAGACAACAGGGTCTGGGTCGTTACCTCAACGACGTCGTGATCCAACACCACGACACCATCGTCACCAGTTCCGATCTCGGGCTGGCTGTCGCCTGCCAATACGATCTGACAAACAAAACAGTGTCGAACGAAGTCGATCTCGGCGTACACGGTGACATAACTCCGGCCTTGTCGGAGGAAGTGATCGTCGACTCGCCCAACGTAGCCATGAAGATCACCGACCGCAGTGGAAACGATGCTATCCCCTCGGCCGAGGTCGGGGATCCTCTGGCGCTCAAGTTCGAGATTCTCGACCCGAACAGTCCCTACGAGATCTTCGTGCGGGAGTTGGTAGCTATGGATGGCGTAGACTCCAGCGAGATAGTCTTAATTGACTCGGACGGTTGCCCCACCGATCACGTCATCATGGGACCGCTCTACAAGTCGGCTACCACTGGCAAGGTGAGTTAAACGGTTATCACTCATCGATTCCTTATGTTTCACGGTACACGCTAATGATTCCTAAAATGACTCTCGGACCGTCATTCGTTAATTGAACGGTTCTAGCCCCCCAACTTAGGGGATTTCGACAAATCAAAGACTCATTTACCGCTTCCGTACTTTAACGAGTCTGACTCGTGATGAAAGTCGGCCCAAACGTAAACATCACTAGTCAGTGAGTTTTAGTTCCTATCAGTACGCCACAAGAGTTGGTCACGATTCTTATAATCTCTGTTATAAAGCAGATTAGCATCAGTCTGGTCTGTTTAGCGCGCGTTGACGCCTACATGGCACGGGAAGAGGTTGGCTGTAGAAAGATATTCTCAAAAGTCTGCTATCTATCTAACAAGATTGTGAACTATGACGATTCATAGACGATCCGTGGAAGTTAAATTCGAATAGAGAAGGAATATCGTTGCACGAGTCGCGTGTGATTCCTCCTACGCCCATCTCGCGAGGTAAATGATAGATGGAAGGGTAAAGACCGATTCTAATTTGGCAGACATAATGCAGCCATAGGCGACACGGCTAATACAGATGATTGGCACCGATAATGTCGATATGCGGTTGGCGACCGTTATGGGAAAGCGCGCGTTGCTGTTTTACGCGCGTACATATAGAGTAGTGGAGAGAGGGAGAGGAGAGGGGGGTAGGAGCTGGATGGAAGGAGCCGCGAGTCAACCAGTTAGACTAACTTCATGCTAATCAATCACTCGGACGGATTTTACGACGGGAAGCAATTTGCTCGCGCCGTAATAGGTCGCATCGCTGATGCGCCGCCGTCTTGGTGATGACGCGCCATGATGTGCAGACGGAGGTCGCGTTTCCTCCGTGAGTTGGTCATTACTTTCTACGCGCGGCGTAATGTTCGCTGTCAGTTGGAAATTCGGGAAGTAAACGATTCCTTGTTACGGTTGACGCGGGAAGGATCTGTTTACACAATTAAATGAAGTGCCAGGTGGTGATGGGACCGAGACGCGTTTTAATACTACCGAGACATTTATGTTTGAAATTGATACTCCTGTATGATAGCGAGGTGTCTTTATGGGCGAATTTGAGGCTTATTGGAACGCGAGACTGTTGTTCCGATGCATATCGATTACATCAGGTTTGGTACCTGTTTTGTCAGTGTTCGCGACCCGACGCATATCAAACAACCGACGCTAATAGTTGACCGATCAACCTGAATTGGACGCGTAATTATTAACCGCGTACATCGTGTTAGCAATTTATTGGTAGAAGACGCTTTTAGTGTTTCTTTTTGTCGCATAAATAGTTCAGTGTATTCGAGAAGACCTCTCAACATTGATATGTAAGTCAAAATTTAAGAAACTATATTCAAAGTCAATTTTCTATGTGGTATTTGCTTCGCGTAATTATTAACCGCGTACATCGTGCTAGCAATTTACTGGCAGAAGACGCTTTTAGTGTTTATTTTTGCTGCATAAATAGCTCAGTGTATTCGAGGAGAGCTGTCAACATTGATATGTAAGTTAAATTGTATTCAAAGTCAATTTTCTATTTCGTTTTGATGTTTTCTTTTGCTTGGGTCCTCTTCAGAAATGTCAATCCGAAATGCTCCTGTTAATTTTTACTTCGTAGAGCGGTGACACCGGAAATTAAGAGTCGATTTAAAATAGAATTTTATTACGTGGGACAAGAAGGTGCGAAACCAACTTGAAAGTAGTGCCAGCGTAAATAAAATTCCCTCGGGTTACCTCGACCCATGTGTTTTAGTTACGGGCTGATGCAATATCACTTACGAGGTACCGCAGAGACGCTTCCATTTTGATCTCTGCTTCTAAAGAACAGGGAGACAAGAGACGATGAGTATAGAAATCAGAGTACCACAGAGTGTCTTAAATAGATCACATGCTTTTTCTCAGACGCTGCTATATTAGCACCTTGCATCTCGATTTTTCTTACTCAAATTTAGTCTCGAGAGGTTTATATTTAATACAGACTTAGTACAGATACGAAGTAGAATTAGATTACCCTAAAGAAGATAACTCGTTAATTATTCCTGCATCGAAACATCGCTCCGAGCGAACAAAGAAGTATAATTAAAATTGTAAAGAATAAATTATATTCCAGTCGAATCAAAATATTCCTATGAAAGCATCGTGAATTGATTAGCAATTAATCGGAAGCATTTTTTAAGTAGAAGCTGGGTTTATTTCAATCGCCAAGACGTATCGACGTACAATGATAGACGACCGTATCACGGACATGAATGATCACTGGTCCAATAACGAACATTTCTCCCATGAGTACCGCATAAGGAAGCAAACAATTAACTTCGATATCATGTCAGTGCTCGAAGATACAATTTCCTTGTCAGAATAGTCGAAGCGAATTAGACAGGGATCATTAATTCTTGCACATTTAATGGACATCCAATGTGATAGCGAAAGTCACGCATCGCGTGATACAAGGGTCAGCTATCACGGATACAAATGATTTCGTATGTTCTGATCGCGATTTAATTACGTTCTTGAACATGAATATTGTTGGTCGTCATTTACTTGGGTGGTTCGGAATTCCTTGCCGTCCGATCCTCGTAGCAGAAATTGTTCCAAATCGACGAAGCTCTCGCTATGATTAATTTTACATAACCCAGACCGTCCTTCGAGTATCTTCGATCAATTATGCAAAGTGTTCCAGAAATAGGTGACAAAATTAGAAACGTATTCCACTCTTTCATTCTTATTGCGAGTAGAGCTGTCGATTTACTATAAAAAGCTGTAAAAAATTTTATTTGCCACAATTAGGGGATATAGATAAATTTGAGTACATTTCTCTAGATTTAAATTTAGACGAAAGAATGCTGCTACGCGTAGCTCAAGAATATAAATAAGATCCTTGGACACGGCTGGACGTTAATCCTTGTCATCCCCCTATAGTCTTATTTCTTTTAAACAGTATCGGATGACACTCGCCAGCCAGGTTATAGGCCTAGCCGACAGTTTAATCGCCTGGCCTCATCCCCGTCGTTCCCTTCCTCACGTTCAACCTACTATCTCAGACATCCTATTAAACCTATTAAGCTATACAAGAAAAAGACAAAAATCGTGTGACGGAGGAAATGATAATGGGTAGGGATAAAACAACGAGCCGCATATTTTAAGTCAAAATAGGGGGGGCAGCTTGAAATTAAAACACTAAGATCAGAAATTACACCAAGATCCTCGAGGAAAGTGCATTGTAAGAATATAGTAAGAATGATAAATTATATCGAAGAGTGTCATCAGCCTGTACATACGCTCGACAGTTTCTCTAAAAATAAAAATGAACCTGGTAAATGGTTCGCACAAACGATGAACGAAAGATCAAGAATGAACACACTCCTCGAGGTGCACCACGCGAAGAGGAAAAGTAATTCCTCTCATCCATAAAATGACTAAGCACGATACTAACGCTGGTAATTTATGTAGTATAAAATCCTAATCGATAACCGCTAAATCAGGATTCCATGCAAATTCTATCCAGATCAGCTGGCGTTTATTACAAACACGCGATAATAAATGTAACATAAATGCTCTCGTCCTCAATTGATTCGTACGTAATAGTAACGCTGTTAGTCGTCGACTCGTGCAACGCGAAAACGATAACATTCTCATCGGGTAATCCCCTTCGTTGGGAGTCTGCAGGAACGCGTTCACCATTTTCGTAGTTCAACGCTCGCAGATGCCGCATCCGTCGACGAGCAAAGGAAACGGATCGTTACGATAGTGGCAGGCAGAAAAGCGAATTCCCCAGTGGGACGAGAGGGGGATAGACAACAAGAGGCATACCGCCTCGTTAACTCGTCGTTCCAGATCATTTGCTCGTGCGAGCGCGGGGCAATATCGCTTTATTAGAAAGTAATAACAGTCCCAGGGCTGGAATAAGGAACAAATTTATACCCGTTAATCTAGAAAAGACGCGGCGCATCGAGATATATCACCGAGTCGTGTGCATCCCGACACCCCCTCGCGTCGCGGGGGGGAACCAACGATCCCCCATTCGTACCACGATCTTGTACCACCGATTCTGCAGATCACGCGAGCCAGCCTCATTTCCTCTCCAGACTTGTCCAAGTAACGAGGCCTGGATCTACGAATAGCTGGCTCTACGTGCTCCTTCGAGCACAGGAAATTACAATTCGCGGAACAAGAGTCCAACTAGAAGAACCGTCGCGACGAGACAACAGTCCACGGGTTCGCTGTATTCACGAGTAGCGATAAAAACGCATCGATGAACGTTTATCCGCGATAGTAACGCGTCGCTGACGATACGGTAATAAGCATTAACGACATTGCTTCCATTCTCACGCGGTAACGTGCGTTGTCGCGCAACCCTGATTCATCCGGACAATCGTTGCAAGAACATGGCAGGTGTAAATTTTTTCCTGGAAACCGTTCGTCGCGGTTGCGTTAAATGCCTGTTATTATTGTAGCGTGCGTACTTAACGTGTTAGGCATTAATGAGATTCTCCCGGGTCACGAACGCCTTTGCTCCTTTTCCTTTTGCGCTACTATGATACGTTACTCGTTAACAATTTCCGTTTCTTTTTCGTAATGGCAAATGGGGAAATTGTGGTAATTAATGGACGGTGTAGACGGTTATAGAAGGATGGAATTAGCGCTCGAGGAATAGTCAGAAAGTTGAGTACACGTTGAAATATGAGGTTGAGCGAAACGGGGGTGCAAATAGAGGAAATGTTAATAAATCTTCGCGGAGGTCGCTGCTGAATTTGTCAGAACATTGTCTGAGATATTTAATAGATATCCACAACGCCGAGGATGGTTATCGCGTATCGAATATATGCCAAGTCTCATAAAAATCGGAGACAATCTCTAATGAGAACCCTCGTGCCTTGCTCGACTTCCCTGGCGAGGAGCAGTAAAAGTCACGGCAATCTGGCCAATTACGTTTGGTCATTATTTCATTACGAACACGCCAGGAAGAACATAGAAGGG